AGGCCATGCACCACGCTGCTAAAGTGGTTATCTCTGGGAGGAGGGATTGCAAGAAAACGTCCCATTTTATCTTTTCGTATTATTTGATGTTAACAGACATTTTTGCTTTTATAATGAATAAAAACAATAAGGAATGCCCCACTAAAACTATTTTGCATTTTTCATTAAAAAAATAAAAAAGAAACAAAACCTACACTGTTGGGCTCCTATGGAGCGAAGCTCATTTATCTCTCTATGTGCCAGTGCTGAGTGGGTGCATGGCAGTACATGCAGGTCCTGAGCAAAGGGAAGACCCCTCAGTTCAGGGCTTCAGGGACAGGAAGGCAGCAATAGGGTGTAGCTAAGGGGTGAGATTTACTGAGCTCACTTGTGACCCCTCCCAGAGCAGACCAGTAAGGACCCAGACTTCTTCAGGCATGAGGCACATGCATTACCGGTCTTCAGCATGACACTCAGCCAAGGCCCTGAAGAAAGAATCTGAAGTGTCTCAAGTCCTCTGGGGAGCAGGCTACAGGGTAGCAGATGTCCCTCAACTTCCCCACACATCAATAATGTAGTAACACCATCAATTTGCCTTGGATTGGTCTTGTTTGGTTAATTATCAAAGGGAGAGATTAAAGACTTTAATCTCCTGTCTCCTCCTTTACCTGCAAGGCTTATTTATACAGAAAAGAACAAAGAGCGTCATCATGTACATATTTTTTTTCTCCCAGTATACTTCAGAAGGCAAGGGCCCCTCTGCCAGCACGCCGTGACATTCCTGGAATAAGAACACCTTAGAGATTGCTCCCTCACCAGTGAGATGGGGAAACTGAGGCCGAGAGAGGAGCAGTGATCTGCCAGTGAGCCGCAGAGCCCGGAGGCCCAGGTCTCTCCACTCCCGGCCCAGGGTTTCTGTTTCCGTGAAACACGGGCACATAACAGACATGAAGAGCAGCAGCACTGAGCCCCCAACAGAAAGACCCCACCCTCAGGAAGCAGAAGAAAAGGCCCCAGAGGAGGCTCTGGTTTTCCATCAAAGAGACCTCAAGGCCTAAACTCTGCTAAGAGAACCATCCAGGCCAAAGATCTCTCTGGTTTTCAGAGCAGAAAGTGTTGCCGCTTGGGAGGACCTCAGTTCAGTACCTGGAGGTACTCAGGCAATGCTCCCTCTGTGGCAGGCTTCCCCTCTCCCCTGCTCAGACTCTGTGTCCCCACTTCCCCTTTGCCTGAACGCCCTTGGTATTAATGCTCCCGGTCACTTCGGTCTGGCACCTGCTCACTCCTTCTGACCAGCCAGTGTTTCCTGCAGGAGGAATGCCCAGCTCCCCTAGACAGAGCGAGGCTCCCTCTTCGGTGACCCACACACTTGGTTGCTACCTCCTTCATTCCTAGATAGTACTGATCTACTCTCAGGAGAAAAGGAAGCACCTGACATGTCTTGTCACATCCCTCAGTGCCAGGCAGTGTGCTGGGAGCTTCCGTCTCAGCCTTTCTCAATGCTCTGCCCAGAGTGGGAGCAACCAGGGTAACCATGGCATTCGCTGAACTCTGTCCCAAGCAGTGATGGCCACGCATTTTGGGGTGGGTGCGATTTTGCTCACTTCACCCTTGAGGAACACAGGCAGAGTGACTTGTCCCATGTCCCCCAACAGTAACAGCTTCTATTAAACTCAAAGCTGATGATTCCAGATCGCAGGGACTCTGGGACCTCTTTGGATCTCTGTCTCCTTTTCCAGAATCTGGAAACTCAGTACCACACAGGCATCTCCAAATAAATGTTTGCTGAATCAACACACAACCTTCAGTGTTATTTGTGGGAAGACAGCCTCGGCTCCTGATCTAGAATCGGGAGGTCCTGAGGCCATTGGCGTGTTCCTGGCTGCCTCATCCACACACCCCTCCCTAGAGGCTTGTCCTCTCCAGGACATCTTTGCAAAGCAGTGGACTGGCCTCTGCTGGCCGCAGAGAGGGCAAGCATGGTGGCCCAGTCTAACAGCTCCTGACCTGGGAAAGCCTGGTGGGCCTGGAGCGCTCCCACTGCCACCCCCACTCCCCACAGCCTCCTCTCCTTCAGAAAGCCAGAGCAGAGCTCAGATAAAGCTTGTCACTGGGGCCTGTGCTTAAACCCAGCGGCTCTCTGGGCACCATCAGCCTGCAGCTCCCTGCCACAGGAGGGTCCTCTGCCCCTGACTGGGAGGTCGGACTTTCAAAGCCAGCTCTGGGCTTGGGTAATCCGCTTCTCTGTTCCTTGGCTAAGGGGCCACGACCACCCCCTTGTGGGCAAGTTCTGAGGAGGGGCCAATGAAGCCACAGGTGACAGTGGCCGCCCAGCACTAGCCACTTCACAGGGTTCAAGCATCCACCTTTTCCTTTCGGGTGTCCATCTGCACCGTTACCTGCGGTGGCCTCTCCCTGAGGTGTCCGTCTTGCGGGGTCTGTGTGCCTCTGTCCGGGCGTCTGTCTGACCTATGTCCCGCCCTGCTGGGCAATGGCAGCCCGCAGGCCCCCAGCACACCCTAGCACGCGAGGGCAGGAGTCGGCCACTGACAGAGACAGAGCCACGCCAGGCCCGACGACACCCCGAGTCCCCCCACGCCAGGCCCCTCGGCCCCGGCCGCGCCGCCAACAGCAGGACAAACAGCACCCCGCGAAGTTAGGAAGAGAGAGGCACTTACCGTTCGCTGCGACCCCCAGGCTGGCGGAGCCACTTTTAACTAAGAATAAAATAGGGAAGGGTCCGGGGTGGCCGGGCCCCAGCCGTTGCGTGCCAACCGCCTCTGGCTCTCATTGGCCGGAGGGGAGGGGGGCGGGGAGGGGGACTGCTCAATAGGGGTGGATGAAGCGGATGAACAATGCAAGGGAGCACCTGCGGGCCACAAAGACAAACACAGACAGAAAAAAATAATGAAAATTGGTTTCGAGGCACACGGGGAGGGGGAGGGAGCAAAGTAAAACACGCATCAGTGGGGGAGGGGGCCTCCCAGCCTGGGGGGGGGAGCTCGCGCACACGGGACCGG